ATCCAACATATGAAATAAGGAGGCAATTGAAGGAAGATTTTTGGAACAAAGCTTTTATAGAATAAAACTTTTTAACGTAAAGAGAAATAGAATAGAACGTTAAGGAATAGAACAACGTCTACAACGCAAGTTAAAAAATTTCTATCCTGTATAATACTTTTATAGACGACTAAATTTAATTCTTGAGGGATAAAATCAACTGTTCTGAGTTTTTGACCCACTCTTCAGATAATAATAATAAAAAAAGCTGACGGCATATGAAGCAGCTGTCATGATTTAAAATCGTTTGCTTTTTTTCTATGAAACATCAATTAGATGTTTCGTTTTTTTTTTTTTTTTAATAATTTTAGCTATTGNTTTTTTTAATAATTGTCTTTTATCGTTTTGACAATTTATCCATTCGCCTTTTTTATAAATTGTAAAAATAAATTTAGAAGTTTTCACATATTATAGTATGCGTTAGAAACGACAAATTATTTAACAAACCTAAAAATGCTCAATTTTTGGAATTAATCATTGAGAAGAGTCAAAAGTGTTGTTTTACTTCCCTATAATTACTATTTCTGAAAAAAAATTATTTTATCAACATTGTTTGTAGCTATAAAAAATTGTGAATCGTTTGAAATTTTTAACATAAGATATACAGCTATTTTAAAAACGGATGGAAAAGGCATCCGAATTCTTTCTTCTAATATATAATATTAAAATTAATTGAACAGGTAATTTGAACAGGGGGTATATTTGCATTTATTATCGTTTTTTCTGACAATGAGCGTTAGAGCTCTCGATATTGTACGGAAACAAAATTGAGCGAAGTTACATTGAGAAACTTTCGCGACTGTTTAATTTTTGTTATTATTTTATTTATTTTTGGTAAATTGCAAATTTTATCTATTTATTTATTTGGCAAGAATTTTGTTTGAAATGAATAAGAAAAAATGCTCTCACATATGCTTGTTTTGTAAATGTACAATGCAAGGTTTATTTCCCTCATTCGCCTTCCAATGAGGTGAACCGGGATCGAATTCCAGCAATAGCTGCTCGATACGACTTCCGCACCCTTTTCGCACCGACCACAGAGCTGACGTAAAATATCTTCAGCTGTATATGGATCATGAGTTAGAGTCCCCTTTCCATCAGGCTAACCGCGGGAGGTTTACAGAGATATTCCTCTCCATGCAACGTGAATGCGGGTTAGTTCCATTAAAAATTCCTCTGCGAAGGTAAATGTTTCCCAAGAGTTTCCCTGTACTTTTGAATTGCAGTTGTTGTGACGATTTACATATTAATAATTATAGTCGCAATTGTTGTTCATAGTGACAAAAAGCTGTTTACAAGACTTTCAAGTTACTGGTTTGTATAGATCAGACTCGTCACTTTAATGAGCGTTAAAGAAAAATAAAAGCAAACAATTTGATGGTACGGTATTTTTAAAGCTTTCCAATAAGCCTTCGATAGTGATTGGTTGCCTGCTGCACAAGGATAATTGCACGAGTGTTATAGTATACGCACATAGTGATTGCATTTATGTTTTTGATCGATTTGATGGAATGCTTGAAATGTTAGAATTAATTCATTTTATTTGGATTAAAAATAGCATGGTAATAATAAGTCTGTTTATTACAATAACGACATTTCTGTTTAAAACAATATTTAATTAATTAAATGCACTTGGGACACTAATATAAAAATAGCAACAGAAAAATAATTATCAACTTAAAGTGTTATAACATAAACAGAACATGAGTACATTGAAAAATGCTATAGTACGACTCAAAGAAAAAGATGTCCTGTTCAAAGCCAAAAATTTTATTGAGATATAAATTATTTATCATTAGATTACATTTCATGGAAATTTTAAGAATTAACTATTTTGAAATTCTTAATCTTCACAATACTGTACGTACAGAATAATCACATGCAGTACAATGTCCTGCCTTCGAGCTATTTTTTTTTTTTTTTTTAAAGTCAAAATTGGGTTTTGTGAAGATTGGGTTTGGTCAAAATTGGGTTCTGTCATAGTCGGTGTCTGTCATAGTCGAGGTTAGTCATGGTCTAGTTCTGTCATAGTCGGGTTCTGTCGTAACTGGATACTGTCATAGTCGGTGTCTGTCATAGTCGAGGTTAGTCTTGGTCTAGTTCTGTCATAGTCGGGTTCAGTCGTAACTGAATTCTGTCATAGTCGGTGTCTGTCATAGTCGAGGTTAGAAACAAAAAAAAACATTTATTTATATTGCAACATTGTAAAATAAACATAAAAAGAATACATAAAGAAGCACGATTTTATAGTATATTATCCCGTAATACCTGGTCTAAGTTGAAAATTATAGGTTAATATTAAGGGGAGATATAGGGTAATTTCTATGCATAAAATAGCAGCAATAATTCCTCCATTTTTAACCTTTTATTTCACTCTTATTAAAAAAAATAGTAATAATTTAAGGAAAAAAAACCTTTATTTATGTTACAATATTGTAAAATAAATATTTTTTTTAAAAAAACTTTTTTTTATGAATTATTAACCTTAAAAATATTGTCGATTATGTAGTTGAAACAGAAATTTTTGACTTGCCTGATATCAAATGTTAATAATCAACGATTTTAGTGACACCTATGTTAATAGCACAGAGAGACGAGAACAAAATTTTAAGAAAATTGAAAATGTTTTATAATCAATTAAAAGGTTTTTAATATCATTTAGTAAATTCATGCGCTTTTGAACATTTTTACTCTCGCCCTTTCTTTCGATGTTAATATCAAAATTTTCCTTCAAGCCAAAAAATTAAACAAATATAAATTATAAAAAAAAAATTGTCCTCCAAATGACCCCCTCAAAAGCGGCGATTAATAATTTTATGAAGACAAAGAAAACAATGCACGAAATCGAAACTAGGATTCGTTGAAAGTAAACTGCACAGAAATTTTTTACTTGCCTCATATCATATTTATAATATTATGCATCATATTTATAATACTATGCGTCATATTAATAATATTATCTAAACAAAAGAAAGCGATACTTAAAATCGAAATCGAAAGAGGATCATTTAAATGTAATCTACGCTGATATTTTTAACTTGCCTGATATCATATTTGAATCATTAAAGAATTCAGACACCAGTCCTAATGATATAAAGAGGCAAGAAATAAAATAAAATAAAAATTTTACAGATATTTATTACAGATATTTTTATATATTACAATATTACAGATATTTTTTGCACATATTTTTTTTTCCTTTGTGATTTTGAGGCCAGCTCTGTCACTTGATATTAATATATCAAATTTCTCTATCAAACCAAATATTATAAAAGTTTTTTAAAGTGTCTGCCAAATGACTCCCTCCAATGCAGCTATTAATAATATTATGCACACAAATGAAAGTAACACTTGAAACCGAAAGTAGGTTCCCTTAATGTAGACTACACATATATATTTATCTTGTCTCATATCATATTTTAATAATCAACTATTTTAGCGACACCTATGATAATCGTATGGAACATAATGAACAAAATAAGAAAATTTTTCAGAAAATGTTTTATAAATATTATTTAGCATATGAATAGGTTTTTAGAAATTCCAACTCTCCTCACCCTTTCCCTTGATATTAATATCAAACAACTCTTTCAAACCAAAAAAATTATAATATAATCCTTAAAGTGTCAGCCAAATGTCCCCTTCAAATGCAGTTATTAATAATGTTACTTAAACAAAAGAAAGCAAGGCTTGAATCTGAAATCGAGATCCTTTAAATGTAGCCTAAACAAAAAATTTAAGTTGTATATACATCATGTAAGTGTGTATATTTTTTGATGTGCATTAAAATCAAGAAATTATCACTCATGTACGGTATATCTATATGGCCCAATATTTCTTCTTAATATTAATATATTTTATAATATATTTTTTTAGTAACTCGTTTAATTATTATATCAGGATATACTATACTACCATACCGAAGGAAATAATTATAAACAAATTAGGGTGTTCAAAATATGACACAACGTGTGTAAATATTTCTAAGTGCATCTAATAGCATTAAAAAGGAGAAATTGCTTCTCATACACTGTATATTTGTGGTCCCATATCTACCCCTAATATTAAAATAGAATTTTTAAACTCAGTCAAGTATTATATTGTAACATACTATATTACCATACTAAAGGAAATAATTATAGACAGATTAGGGGACCCGAAATGTGACACAATATGTAAGTATGTATGTATCCCAGATAGCAGAATAAGGTTTATTTCCACTAAGCAAAAACCTTTTAATGTAAACCTGAAAAGGTTTTTAATGCGGTTTGCGTGTAAGCCTTCTTACCTGAAAACGAGATCTGTGACAATCTGCGCTGTTCTACCCACATTATCCTCATCCAAAACCTTGGAAAACAATTTTTTCTATAAAAACCTTAAATTGAGGTTGACTTAAGGTTCTCAAGCGGGGAAAAAACCTTTTATAAAGCTAGTCTCAAGGTGAAAATAATTTTAAATCTAGGTCATTTTAAGGTTTCGTTTCGCAAAGTCTTGTATGCTCAGCTAAGATCCACCTTGTCAAGGAATTTTAATGGACAATGCAATTTGATCCTATCGCTAGTGTGACGTCAGCTAAAACGTCATTATGGACCTAAGTGACGCATACTTTTTAAAAAAGCTTCAAAAAATATTTGTAAATCTTTTTAGGATGAAAGGTTTGAAACTGCAATACTTTTGCTTTATTGAAAAAAGGTTTTTAGTACAAACATATTTGTGACAATAAAAAGACAATTCCGACACAAGGTTGCAAAGTTGCAGGTTACATGCTTTCTGGGTATATTTCTCTAATAGCGTTAAACCTTTTCGCACATTTCGTACGTTATATTCGACAACGGCTCTTGTGATTACGAGCAAAAATCTCAATGAAAGTTGAAGTGTATGTTATTTATTATTATCTATTCTCCCGGGGAGTTATGGGGTGCAGTTGCAGTTCGGAACCGTGAAAGCACGAGGCAGATTCTCTCTTTTCGGCGGGTATGTGAAACCTGCTAGAGGTGTGATTGCAAATTGCTCTCGTGTTAGTAAATAAAGTGAAAGTGCTATGTCTTTTCCCACTTCTACTGACATCGGAACTTTCCGAAACATATTGACAAATTTATTAAACACTAATAATGATGTGCGAACTAAAGCTGAGGTAATATAATTTAAATCTAAATTATATTCAACTCCATGAGTTTTATCAATATCAATCACCACAGTGACGTTTCACGTGTTAATGGCTAATTTTTAATAAATGCTGTTTTCTATTTAATGTCAATATTGATGTCCTTGTATAAAACGGAAAGCATTGTACAAAATTCGTAATTTTTAGTACTCTATTAGTTTTTGCTGAGATGAGTCATACCTTGGTTACTGCGTTGACAATGTGTTTACGTTCATTCCTATTATGTTGTCAATTACCAAAAAACGAAATATGGTTTCTTTTAATAGTAATTAAAAAATAAGAATAGCTGTTCTAATCGGTAGATAGATGTATAATAATTTAAATAAATATTTTGGATGTAAATATAGATTTAACATACTGTCAGGGTTATGTTTAAAACTCTTGTTTTTAACATGTTTAAAACATATAAAAAAAAACGTGTGTTTGACAGGTTTTCTTTCAATACTTAAAAACAAGTTTAAAATAACAGAAAATTAATCCTATTTTGTCTTCAGTAACAGTTTGTATAAAGTGTCTAGTAAGAAGTTTTCTACTTTTAGCAACAAAGGGTACTAAAATATTTACAAAACTCACATTTTTTTTCAACTTAACTGTATGCGAGAGTTGTTGCAATTGCTTGTGTTAAAAAACAAACAGGTTAACATACCAAGTCTCTTGTTTTTTAACGAAGACTCCTGTATTTTACAACTATTTCCTGTTTGCCCATATATTCTCAAATTTTCGCATATTGAGTGTTAATAGTTGAAATCGTGCCTTGATGGCTCAGGGTATTGTGTGTTTGCCTTATATTGAGGTTAATTGGGATCGAATCACAGCGATGACTAGTCGATACGAATTCCACATCCAGCTTGCACCGACCACAGTGTTGACATTAAATATACTCAGAGATAAACAGCTCATGGGTTAGAGTTCCCTTGCCGTTAGGCTAACCTTGGAATGTTTTCCTCTCTGTGTAACTCAAAAAGTCCTCCGCGAAGGCAAATTTTATGATTTCTCCCAATACTTGATCCAGAAGTTCTCTTGTCTTCTAGATTGGGTTCTGAATTACAAGGCTACAGAGTTGAATATTAGTAGTTGTAAACCCAAAAATTGGGTCGGCTGTTCAACGATGGTTATAAAATAAAAGTTTCAGTAATTATAAATAATGGTTTAAAAAAATCTTTTGATTAAGATTTATGTACACATGTTTTACTTCGCTAAATGTAAGTGCTTATATTGTTCATCTATGATAAAATGAAATAGTGAGCAAGTTTGAGATTAAGAACCTGTTACAAAAACTAGTTGTTGACGTCATAAATATGTTCGGTTAAATGTCAACATCACATTGTTTAATTGAGGCAATACATATCAAATTATTTTATATTATCAATTTATCTTTAATTGATAACATTATATTATGGTATTACAGGTTTTTAAATTTTGTATTATCTGTCTCAATATCTCAATCTTTTAATATATTCTAATTTTTTTATTTCCAGGAGTTATTTGAAAAAGTTCCCCCCATTGATAAAAACTTCCTGCTCTTAAATGTTTGTAATGATGATACTGTCCCCCCAGAGGTAAGTATTATCATTGTTCTCCAACAATCTTTCAATCAACAATTTTATTTCAGTTGATTATTTATTAAACTAAGTTGTTTTATAAAAGGGCACTTTAATTTCGAGACCAAGCAATCGGTTTTAAAATAGCCAAAGTAAACAAATTACCCAAAGTAAACCTAAATATGATTAGAAATTGCCTAAATTAGTGATTTTCATATCCCTACTTGTCAACAGGGTTCCTGATTTTTAAAAAAAAATCAAAAGAATCAGATTTTTTGATATTTATTCAAATACACTGTAAGAACTTTAATTTATGATTAAAAAGAAATTATAAATGTTTAATTAAAATTAACCTAATATTTAAACTATATTATAACAATATTTTAGAAGCTCTAACTAAAATAATTTTTCATTATAATACATGGCTTTGAATGCATAGCAACCATTTTGAAACAAATGCATGATTAAAATTTAAAGACTAGATGAAATAGAGAATTTAAAGAATACTTCAGGAGTCTGTCTGGGTTTTTCTGAAAGGTACCTATTTTGTGAAAATTAAAAATTATATTAAAAAATCAACACAAATATAGTAAAAATTTAGATTTATTGTTTCTTACGAGACGCAAAAATAAAATTTTAAGAAAAAGTATTTTGTGTAATTATTCTATCGTTTTTCCTAAAGTTGAATTTGTAAAGGTACCGTTAAACGATAGTAAATTTGGCTTGGACTGACCCCTGTACTTTAACTGTTAAAACAAAGTTTCAGTTAGCAAACCATAACTTTAATATAAAATTGTGATTTCTTTTTTTTTCCTCTTGATTTTCAAAATGGCAAAATAAATGTAGCAGACTGTTTATAAATGTAGTTATTCATAAAAAAATTAATAAATATTTAATCTATATATTTTTATATTAAAATATTCATTTTTAATTCTATATCAAAATGGATAAGTTAAGCTAAAAAAAAAAATTAGAAAATCGATGTACTCATTGGAATTTTTTTTTCACAAAATTTCTTTAAAGAAAATCAGATAATCTCAAAGATGCTGTAAACATATTATAGAAAAAAGTACCAGTTAATAACCTTACTGCTTCAAATAGACTTTGAAAGGGAAGAATGACACTATATTAGGAAGAAAAAAACCATCTGAATTCATCCGCCTTTTTTTTTCTACTTTTGGCATATTAGGGTAATTTCTTTTTAATATAACCTCAAGCTTCAGAAATATACATTTTCCACCAGTAAAATATGATGTAGATTTTAATTATGCTTTTTCATTCAAAAGGTAGAATTTTAATTAACATTATTTGTATTTTTTGAAAAAAAATCATGTTTATTAATTACTTTCTACAACTATGCAAGTCTATATTAAGACAGCATTGAATGTTTACTTTAAACTGCACTTTCAATATCAAGAATCAAAAGATTTTTGAAAATGTAATTTCAAATGTGTTGGAATTTAACACACACCAAGAAAGAAAGTAGTTTCATTAACTAAAATTAATTAATGCAGCAATTTATTTAAATTAAATTTTAATACTAAGAAAAGAAAATAATAAAAGTATAAACTTTTTTAACTTTTAAAATTTACAGAAACTTATTTAACTTTTAAAATCAATATATATAGATAAGAAAAAATTAGTTGATTTAAATCAATGATTTTTTTTAAAAAAATCANAATGCAGCAATTTATTTAAATTAAATTTTAATACTAAGAAAAGAAAATAATAAAAGTATCAAAAATTTAAAACACTGTTTTTTAATTTTTAAAATCAATATATATAGATAAAAAAAATTAGTTGATTTAAATCAATGATTTTTTTAAAAAAAATCATTTGATTTAAATCAACAAACCATGCTTGTCAACATACGGTTATGTGGAGTGTGGATTTATTTTGCACTCTAAGTTATGCATATATGTGTAGGTGTTAGCCTTGAATGGGCAGATGACTTATGATTTTAGAGATTGAAGAGATCTTAGAGTTTTTTCTGTTATTTTGATTCTCCATATATCTGTGTCTTCCTTATTAAATGTGTTAGTGAACGTTTGGTACTTGTTTTCATTTTGTATGGACCTGCTATGAAAATGTTGGGTAGATGTTTACCCATTAAGATAAATTTGGAACTGGCCGTAACAGTATTAGTCACAGTTGAGTCTGTTTAAGGATCTTCTACTAAATTATTGTCTATTTAAGAGATGCCAATTGTTCTGCTTTCTGCAAAAGTATTAAGAAATTTGTTGCAAATAAAAAAGTAAAACTTTTAGAATAAGGATCATTTCACCAAATTTTTAAAAGTGTCATAACCGCAATAAAGTAGCCTTCTATATGATAATTTGATAATTTTGATGATATAGTGGTGGAAAACTGACTTAAAATCAAAGATAATGAACTAAAAGTAATTTAAATTTTGTTACCAATAGACTATATTTTTTTACAGTTTTTCAGGGCCATTAATTGAAAATTTAATGATTTTATTAAAAAAAAATTGCTTATTCTCAATTAAGAACAAACCAAATTATCCTAAAAAGCATTCATTCTACTGAAGCTGTTGATGTAGGCAGTATTTAAAAGCCCTTATAGGTGCTTTTTTCATTGCGTGTTTATAAAAAGTGCTTAATTTTCCATTTTTGGAAAAGGGAGATTTTTTTTCTTTACCATGTCTGTTTTCGCCATGTATTATGCAAAAGCATACTTCTCGCACTGTTCTATTCAACATTTTCATAATTCATTCATCCACAATCCATTTGAGCGTACGGTTAGTCGGTAACTTATGAAAGCGCTAATCATTTTACATAATTTGATTAAATACGAGTCTGCAAGTGCGTCTACTGAGCTGGGTTCGGTGAGATTCTTGCTCTCTCATGTGCAACTCAGCTGCATTTTGTAAGATATTCTCAATTTCAAGCTTCATTTTCCACCCTCTGTTATTGAACTGAAATTACTCTTGATCTTTTTATAATAGCTAATACAATAAAAAAAAAAGAGTTATTTGTCAGAAACTAGTTATTTTATCATGAACATGTTATGTCTTTGAAATATATAACATTTTGTTATTGTATATAATATAGAGTTAAAAAATATTTTTTGAGTGCTTAAAAAGTACTTAAAAGGTGCTTATTTTCGTTGAAAGCTTTGGCTACGCACCCTGATTATACTTATGATTAATTATTTTACTACAACATGCTCTTTCTTTCCATGTAACCCTTTTTTTGTTAAATTTCGTTAATACGAATCATGAAGTGCAATTTTTAAAATGTGCGAATACGACTGTGTAATTTCTAAATCACGTGAATTTGAATCCTGTCGAGATTATTGGAAGCCGCAGAACTACGAATCGCTATGTGTGTTTTTAAATTGCGAGAATATGAATCTTGATATGTGGTTTTTAAATTGCGTGGATGCGAATTGCGATATCTGATTTTTAAGTCACATGAATTGAATACGTATCGCAATGTCAGATTTTAAAATTGCGTGAAAAATTGCCACAACGCATAATTTTTAAAACGCGTAAATACAATCAAGATATTTGATTTTTGAATCTCTTGAATATGAATCATGATGTATGATTTTTGAATTATACGAAGAATCACAACTTATGATTTTTAAAACGTGTGGATACAAATGTGTGGATGTGTGATTATTAAATCTTGTGACTACGAATCATGGTGTATGATTTTTGAATAGTGAGAAGAATCAAATAGTATGATTTTTAAAACACATGAATATAAATCACAATTTATGATTTTAAATCATCATGTGACTACAAATAAGAATTGCATGGGGTATGATTGATTAAACTTATGCTTGTTCATGATTTTTTCAAAATATGTAAGTGGATTGAATTTTTTTTCTTAAATTTTTTTTTAAATGTCGTGAATATGAATCACGATGTATGATTTTTGAATTGTTGAAAGAATCAAAACACGATTTCTTAAAATGGCTGAATACGAATAGTGTGTGTTATTATTAAATCTTGTGAATAAGAATCATGATGATTTTTGACTTTTTTAAAAATCATTTTGCAATGTTCAAACTGGAAAATTTTTTATAAGTGCGAGAAAATTTACTTATTAAAACAAAAAATTTTTAAAAAATCATGGCTTTATTTATTTATTTATTTTTTTTAAACTGTTTGGTTTTTACAATAGTTTAAATCAGGGTTGGTTTTTTGACGTCAAAAAGTGGTTTTTGACATGACAAGGGTATACTGGTTTAAACCGTCAAAAACCCGTCGAAAACGTCTAAAACTGAAGTTTGCCAAGAAAATATATAAACTTCAAAACTACCAACAGTAGCCATGCATTATATGGAAATTTAATTATACTATAGGTAATCAGCAGGTTTTAAAATATTTTTTTATTAAAATTAAGGTAAAATAACAGATTTAAAATCNCCAACCCTGGTTTAAATCATGGTTATGATTGCATTGGTTTATATCAACCAACCCTGCAATGTGCATTCACATTCCATTAATAAATAGTTTCATATGTTTCCTATCAAAAATAAGATAAAATTATTCAATAAAAAACATTTTTGGAATTCGTTAAAATGAATCTCAATGGTCATAACAATTCCATTAAATTTGGAATATCAAAAGCTTTTGCTTTTTTCCCCTTTATCAATTTCAAAATCAAAAATAATGTTTTCTTTTGGGCCGAGCTGGGAAGCTCCATTGTAAGGTTAACCAAATAAGTATTGATTCAGAATAAATATTTTTTAACAAACAAAGTGTGTTATTTTAGATGCAAAAAGTTGAAGACTTAGAAAAATTAATTTTTGATGAATTTATTTTCCAGTTAGGTACAGGTTGTTAAATGTAGGACAACATAATCTAAAGTTTTTAGGCAGAGAAGTGGTGAATAATTGAGTAATTAGATGTGTTTTGACTTTCAACTGTTATTTTAAATTATGGTTTTCTGCTAAATTATGAGTTCAAAATTTTAACTTTATCTTAAAACAAAGATTTTTTTTTGCAACAGCTACTGTAGATGGAAACAAGTACAGTCTATACAGTTACAATGCAGTCCAAATTTCGCTGTCTGTTAAAATACTTATTACAGGCTTTTTATTTTAATTGAAAAATTTATGTCCACATTTTTGTCCAAATAAATCATAGAAAATTCATTTAAAAATATTGAATGTGTATAATATAGATTCGTTGATGTATTTTAACAAACTGTAAAGGGCTTACAGTCCAAATAAATTTGCAATAATTTATTTGGACTAGTGTAAAGTGTGTACATATTACACATAATTTGTTAGAAATGTGTTTTTTTTTTACTCATGCACTTTATCACATATTTAATTCGTTTATGTTGAATTTTGTTTGAAAAAAAGAAAATCAGATTTCTTAAGTGTTTTACTTTATATAAATAATTTTGCATAAAAAGTTTAAAAATAATATTTATTGAATAGTAAGTTGATAATTTTAAAAAACTATTTTGTTTGATAATTACAAAGAAAACTGATTGGGGAAAAATGAAAAAGCCCACTTGATAGTTATAAAGATGGGTTTTTTTCTCTCTCTCTTTTCAAGTGGACCCAGCCTGAAAAAACCAATTGGCTTCTTCTGGGCTAGACTTACCTTTGTGAACCCTGATAAGTACACAACTGTTGCACTTTTTTTGTTGCATCAATCTCATATCAGTTATTGATTTAATATTAATTTATTAAAAACGATCTGAATTAAATAAATCAATTGTAAGTCAAAAATAATGCAACATTTTGTATGCTATTTTTAAACATATATTTTTTTTCAGGAGGCAGAACTGGCAGCTGTTCTTCTTCGAAGATTAATAACCTCAGATTTCGATGAAGTGTACATGAAAATACCCTCTGATGTTCAACAACAAATTAAGTCACATCTACTAGCACGTTTACAGCAAAACTTTAATATTAATCTGAGGAAAAAGATAAGTGATGTTGTTTCAGAACTGGCAAGAAATTTTATTGGTGATTGAATGATTTATACTTATATCAAATTATGTATGTTGCTTTAACATAGCTGCCAATTCTACTGAATTTTCCAGTAGACTACTGGATTTCGCCAGTTTCTCAGAAATATAAAATAGAAAAACTTCACTTAAATATTTACCTGAAATTAATAGTTTTTGTGTGTTAATTAGACCACGTGCACAGCAGTTTGACTAATGAAAGATCACAAGCATATTTGGACATGGTGCTGTCAAAAATTGTGACTTTTTTAAATATTAGTTTTTAAGCACAATTTTCTTTTAACAGTAAACTTAATAATATATTTTTAAATAATTGTTTTCGTGTCCATGGATCTTCAGATCACATCAAAGGTCTGGACTGTTGCGGCCGCCAGCTTCGGCGCCTCTTGACTGTAGAGAACAGCTCTAAGATTGTCCTCAATTAGCACCATTAAATCCTTTAATTATTGAAATTTGTTCAAAAAAAGACATTGGAGAAAAGAAATGTTTTTTTAATCATATTACGCAATACAAAAGTTTATTTTAAAATATATTCCAACAACAAAAGAACTACAATGCTAACTGAATTAAAGTATAAAAAAAATTACATACTTAGTAATATAAATTCAAATTAAATGCTTTAATTGAAGAAAATTTATAAGGTTTGAGCAAAAACCTAAAATAAAAACAAAAAGCCATTATAGTTAATAATAAGATTCATTACTTATTTGGTAGCATACTTCAGATATTTTTTATGCAGTAAACATTTCCTTTTTTTTTCTCCTAATAAAATCCCTAATGCAACAAAAAATTGAAATCAAAGTTACAGCAGTGAACATTTTCTTCCATTTTGTGAATTTCTTATTGTAATAATATTGTACTAAAATTTGAAATGTAACGAGCATTCGGTCCTTTTGTCAAAAATTTGGTTGACTCAATGATCGTATAAATATTTGACAGTATTTTTTGATCGCACAAAGAAAGCGTGTTAAAAAGTGATTAATTAATGTCTGGTTTGAGGCTCATAATAATATTGCATTAAAAATATATAAATTATTAAAAACTGGAAGTACGATTTAAAAACTGCCGAATAATTACTTAGGTTTTGCGATGAAATCTGCAGACATAAGTCTAAAAGTGAATAATGCGTGATTCATAACTGACAAGTCAGAATATCATATTAAATGTATGAGAAATTTAAAAACTGCCTGAAGATTGATAGCTATAACCAAAGATTGAATCAAAACATTACTTGAATTTGGGATAAAATCGGTAAAAAGAAAGCAAGTCAGAAAACGATTACTAAAATTTAAAATTTCGTGTGTCGTAATATTTTATTAAAAATAATGAGTTCCTTTAGGCCAGGTGGAATTCCGTACTATTACCACTACAAAAGCAGCAATTTAATTTAAATTGCACTTTTAGCAACTCAAAAGTGCAATTTAAATTATTTATTTTTTCGTATTTTAAAAAAGAATTATTTTTTATTGTGATTAGAGAGCAAGTAGTGCTCTCCTAACTTAATACCTTTATTTAGAAAGAGTAAATGAGTGTTTTTCTTTATTCCTTTTAATGGTGCCTGATCTGATGGTGTAAGTTTTCATTATTTTAACTCATTTCCGTTTTTTATCTTAAAGAAAGACCTTAAGACTAAAGGAGATGTAACAAGGTAGAAGTTTAAAGTAATAGTTATTAAATAATGTAAAAGTTTGTAACTAATCTGTAATCTGTCGGTATTTGCATTCACTCTTTGTAAAATTCAATAAAAATTAACTGGCATCACATGAATAGATATATATATGAGGCTATTTTGAGTTGTTGAATAAACTACTTAAAAAATATGACGAAAATGGAAATTTCTATAGTATTTTTATATGCAATGTAGTTTGAATATGTATATAAAAATAAAGAAATCTTCATCCTATGGTTTCACATTTTAGTCAAATTTAAAATGATATATATTTTTATTTTTGCTCAAAAAGTGTAATATTTGGCATTACAAATAATCAAACAAATCATTACAAATCTGAGGAAAAATTACTCAATATAGACAAAATATGGTCTTGATTTTCATTGAAATTTACCTAAAAGTCAATTAATTTTTTTTTTTGTTTTGTTTGAACCCTTTAAGATTTATTGAAAATTATCTTTTACAAACGAAACTTATCTTTTACAAAACTATACCAAAATTTTTAAAGAACAAGTACTGAAGGATCAATTCCAGGTATTTTAGCCTTTTAATAACTGTTATATTCAGTGGTTAAAGTAAAGGGTCACTTATGTAAACTGCCTTTGAAAATGTGCATGAAAGCATTTATGTGTGCCATTGGTAAGATCTAAACTTAAGCTCTTTTAAATGCAGGGGTCTCTAGTTTTTTCTGAGAGGTACCTATTTTGTTAGAATTAAAAATTATATTAAAAAATCAACACCAAAATATGAATTTATCGTTTCTAACGGGATACAAAAATAAAATTTTAAGATAAAGTATTTTGTGAAACTACCGTTTTTCCTAAAGTTGAATTTGTGAAGGTACCACTAAACGGTAGTAAATTTGGCCTGGGTAGACCCCTGAAATGTCTTTAAAATTAAAGCATGGTTAATTACTCCTCCCCTCCTCTTGACAAAGAGGTGTGATAAGCATGCATATGCTGTCTAGTGTCAATTAAACTTAAAGATGTACTTTATTTTTTAGATGAGAATGGAACCAATAACTGGCAGGAGTATCTGAATTTCCTATTTGAAGGTGCATGCTCATCTGATCCAACATTAAGAGAGATAGCTCTATTAATGTTTGCGTAAGTAGCTAGTAACTTTCTATCTCTCTCTCTTTTTTTGGGGGGGGGATTTGTATTGTAATGTTTGTATTGTGATTTTTTCCCCCCAACAAAGTTGTATATTTTCTAGTGAAATTTTTTTTAGAAATATTTTTTCAAATATTGTTCCATATTTTTGCAAAGGAAACCTAGCTTTTTCAGGATAATTAACAAAAACTCAACGAAATAGAAGAAACAGAAAATAAGTTGCATATTTNTTTTCTTTCCTCCAACAAAGTTGTATATCTTCTAGTGAAATTTTTTTAAAAATATTTTTTCAAATATTGTTCCATATTTTTGCAAAGGAAACCTAGCTTTTTCAGGATAATTAACAAAAACTCAACGAAATAGAAGAAACAGAAAATAAGTTTTATATTTGAGTTATACATCAATTACTGTAACATCCATAGCGTTATTAATGTTTTTAATTTTTAGAAATGTAAGTTTCTTAAAGTTACAGGAAAAAATGGTGTGGTTGTAAATATGGTTTCGAAAAACCTGTTCTATATATATGTATAAAAAGCCCAGTTTGTGTAGGTATTTCATCGAAATCACAGTTTTATTGGGCTTCTTCTTTAGGTTTTTCAGAAATATTTTAAGTTTTTATTCGAGAGTTATTAATGAAGCTGCAGGATTTGCTTCTAACAGTTATGTTAATTTTTTGGTAAGGACCGCAATAGCCTAGTTGGTTGGGCGTTGAACTCATATTCGCGAGTGCGGGAGTTCGAATCGAGACAGCCAAAGAATCCTTTTTTTTTTTTAAATGGTGATAGGTGCACGTTAAATCTGTCAGGATCACAAGTCCTCCATGTTCCCATAACAAATCAACAACTCTATGGGTACTGATCCAGGAATTACCTTGTCTTCTGTATAGGGTTCAAAATTACAAGGCTACGGAGTTGAACGTTGGTAGTCGTAAACTCAAATTTGGGTCACCAGTTCAACGACGGTTATAAAATTTAAAAAAAATAATAAAGTTGTTTGGTAACTATTTATCACTTGTTTTGTTGTAATGCAATCATTTTTAGGAGGCTTTAGATTGCTATGCTATTTTTATTTCTTAATGTCACAGATTGCTTTATACAAATTTACAGATATTCAATTTAAAGATCCCCAAGTTTTTTTTTGCATTAACACAGATTTAGTTTTAGTGCTCATTGGAATAAAATTTAAACTTAATCATTTTGTGAGTTTACCTCTGCGACTTAAACTAAAATTTGGATTTTTAAATCCTATTCAACTCAAAAATATGTAAATGTTTTTGCCAAAAATGTGGTTTAATAATGTTCCATAAAATTAAATATTGTGTAAATATAATTCATTATAGCAGTTTTTTGTTCAAAATTTTAATTGCATATTTTGCATGGAAAGTTTTATATAAAGCTTATTATGAAAGTAAATATAACTTATTTATTGTTTGATAATAGCAAAATAGCTAAGTTTCATACTGTTTATTATATTTTTTTATAATATGTTTGATAGACATGATTAATATGCATAAAAATAGTTTTTTTATATTCTATAATAAATTTTCAAACTAAATAATTTTTTTCATATCATAATAGTTCATAATTTTTCAAAAATGAAACAAATTGGTTTTAATAATACTTTAAATCTCTACAATCTGACAAATATTCCAAGGATTCAAAATTAATAACATATTAAAAGCTAAGCACTTGTAATGAAAATTTGATTAATTAAGACATAATTTCTTATGAATTTGTAAATAGAATAGGCTAATGTGACCTTAATGTGAATAAATACTTCACTTTTCCATTTTAATTAAAGGCACATTTATAATAATAGCAACATGAATGCATTACAATTTAAATATGAAAATAAGTTATCAAGTTAATTTATCTTTTAATTTTTAGGCAGTCTATGTTTGAATGGTAATTATTTTGCTTTTAAGTTGAACCTATATATCTAGTACCATAAATTTTGAAAAAAACCTTAAAATAATGGTGGGCTCAGCAAAAAAAAAAAAATCCAGAACCACTTTGGCAAACCTTAAATTTAAATAATTTTGTGATTTAAAAAAAATATAACCGCTTTTTTTTTAAGTGAGTTTTATGTTTTTATTAAAATTATCATTTCTTTGTACTTTGCTCTTTTATCTCTCTAATTAGGTGTTATCAAGTTTGTTTTTTGTTATATTATCTTAAGGTTACTGTTAAAGTTTTGATTTAATTGGTTATATTTATTTTAGTGCTGTTCCAGGAGTATTTGGAAATCAACAAAATAAATATCTAAATGTAATTTGCCAGATGTTATCTCAAACTCTAATTGACCAACAATCTTTACAAGTAAGTAGTTTTATTCTAATACCATAATTGCTTGATTAATGCTTTTTATGTTACAATGCATTGTAAATGTAGCGAAAACAAAGTATGTTATAAACAATACATGTTATGTGTAGAGAAAACGAAATATAAGGCCCAAACCCCTATCTTGAAATAGATTCGTATAGATTTGAAACAGTAAAGAGGTTTACTTACTTAGGATCAATTATTACTATTGACAACAGAATGACTCCTGAAATAAAAAATCGACTCGATCTGGCAAATTGGACTGAGAAGATTTATTAAATCTCGGTTTCTTTCTATAATAACTAAGTTCTTAATCTATAAAACTCTTGTCATGCCAGTCTTGACAAACGCTTCTGAGGCTTGGACAAGGACAAAACTGGAGGAAAACTGTATCACAATATTTGAGAGAAAGATTTTGCGGAGTATACTTGGTGGTGGTGTGAATGAAAACAATAACTGGAGACGGAGATTTAACTTTGAACTCCACAAGATGTATATACAACCCGATATTATTAAATACATAAAAATAAATAGAATGAATTAGATGGCCCACATGATTTGAATGAATGATGACAATACTATAACAAAGATGCTGCTTTTTAGACCCATTGGAACAAGAAAGCGAGGAAGGCCGCGGTTGAGATGGGTTGACTCGGTGGAGTCTGATTTTCTTGCAATTAATGAATAGAATTGGAGATCAAAGATAAATCGGAAGTCATTGTGGAGATATCTTCAGAGGAATGCATTGGCCAACATAGGTCTGTCTGGCCAACTATGATGATGACATTATTATGTGCACTATAGTGTGCCAGTTGCAATAAATTCTTTGAGTTATGGTCATTGTGATTTTTTCCTTAATTTACAGTAACCAGTGCATTTTAAGTACTCCATTATTAGCAAGCATTTTTTTATCATTGTAGTTTGAAATTTTAGAGTTTATTTTAATTAAAAGTTTATTTGTAAGAAATAGAAATATGAATGAAAAGATAAATATTAGTTTTGTGTGAAAAAAAGATATTTTGGTTGGGTGTCTAACTCAAAGTCAGGAGTCATTCGTCCAATGTAAGATGTGATGCACCTTTAATAATGTTTTTAAAATTGTTATTTTAGGTTCGCTATGCAGCCGTCAAAGCCTTTAGTGCCTTCATGTTAGCCAATGAAAAAGAGATCCCTGTTCAAAAGATGTTCAGCGATGCACATTGTGATGTCAGCCTTCTCAAAGTAAGTTTTTTTACAATAGGTGTGTCTTGTTGCCACTCATTAGAGTTAACCAGTTTAAGGCATAACAGATTTATCTATTGATAAAACTGTTAAACCTTAAAATGCTATGTTTTTGTAAACATGTAAAAATAATCCAATTTTTTATGATTGAAAAAATGTATGAAAAATCATATCTTTCAAGGTATTCAGGGGTGTTTGTATTCCAGGTTTTTCGCATCATCCCTCCAAGTCTAGAAACTAATACATGGGGCATAGTGTTTTTAAAAAGTGCTTAAAGTTGCTGATTTTCGATTTCTGTTATGTAAAAGCCCTTAAATGTGCTTCTTTTCATTGGGTGTTTTTAAAAAGTGCTTAGTTTTCCCTTTTCGAAAATGAGATTTTTTTTTCTTTACCTTGACATATTATGTAAAAGCGTGCTTTTCACATTGTTCTATTCAACTTTTTCACAATCCAGTATGAGTGTCTACTGAGATTATTGTACTATCATGTGCAAATCTGCTCCATTTTGCAAGATATTCTCAAATTCAGACTTCATTTTCCACCCCCTGATATCGAACGGAAAAATGTCTTGATCATTTTATAATAGCTAATATAATCAAGAAAAGATCATGATTATTTTATCAAGATCATGTAAAGTCTTTGAAAATTACTTTGCATTTTGTTAATGTGTATAGTGCTTAAAAATATTTTTTGACGACTTGAAAGGTGCTTTTTGATATTTTGGCTACGCACCTTCTAATAGCAAGGCGTGTTATTTATTTGCAGAATTCAGAGTATCTCAAGACCATTGATTTGCGAACTTCCACAAATCAGAAATTATAATTCGATAAAATTTTTACAGCAATTTAAAATTTATAGTAAGAATTAAATTCTAAAGTTTAAATTTAAAAACCTTCGCTCAATCGTATTAACGAGATGCTTTCAGGCATGTAAATCTTCTGCAAATATAATTTTTGGTTTGTCTGATTTTCATAATTTTTAAACTACGTCACAATCCTCTTATAGCGAGATTCATGTTCACACAAATTTAGTATCTAACATCGATTTTCGTATTTACCTAATTTAAAAAGCTTGCGTCGCGATTCATATTCAAGCTAGTTTAAAATCAGATGTCCTATTCACTGGATTTTAAAAAAATCATGTGCGTCGCGATTCATATTTACGCAATTAAAAAACCCAATAATGCGATTTGTATTTTCGCGTTCTCAAAATCCAATATCAAGATTCCTGTAAGAAAAGTTGTTTCTTAAATAAATTACTTTAAAAGTGTGATATTCGTTATTAGTGAGAAATTTAATTATAAAAAAATTTATATTAACCATGAATAGTATATGTGGGGAGTGAGTGGTTATCGACTATGTCAACCGTCATCTATGAAAAGGTACCCCAGTATAGAATCGAGTTAACGTGTCTTTTATACTAAAGTGAATTGGAATTGTATATTTGTAGGGGTAGACACACTACAGTACTCCCCCATTTGAAGAGTTCAATGAACAGTTACCACTAGATTCATTGCTATTTTCGAGAACCCGGGAGAGTAGTATTAAGATCAGCGTACTTTTGCTGATCGTGAGGGGTGTATTAAGTTCACGGTTGTGGTCGCTCTCGTGTTGCCATTAGCAGTCGAGTGTTTACAGGCCGACGTTGTGTGTGATCAAGACTGAGTAGCAACAGTGGACAATGTCGCAGTCACAAGTAGCAAGTCAACTGTTCAATATGACCCATCCATCGAGGTAGGCGTATCCAGATCAAAGTGGGGGTTACTTCCGAGATAGGCGTAGTTTTTACACTTAAAATTTTCAGGGTTTTTCAGTTTGTGTCACAATTATTACACCCCTGGGTATTGTAATTATGAGTTAATAATCTCCTCAACTCTATGTTTCAGGGGAGAAATTTTGGTAAAATGTCTATTTTTGAAATCAAAAATATTGAGGAGAGTCTGTTTTCTTGTTAAAATATCTTGTGTCAGGTCCATTTTGATGATGCTTTATAATGGGTCCACTTTTATGAATAAAATGTTTTGTGATAGGTCTTTTAATGGAGCCAACTTTCTTCTGAAATGATTCCATAAATAGTTTAAATATTATTTATAGGATATAATATTTTAGAAACATGCTAATATCATCACTGTGACAGAATTTTTTCGGGCTTTCTGCGGCATTTTACTAACTACTCTAATGTAAAGTTAGAGATTTTTTGTTTTAACTTTTGGTGTCTTTGAGAGAGCTCTATTTTTAAATGCAGTTATAGATTAATTTTTTTATAACTTATTGGTACTTTTCTGTTAGCAATCAATTTTTATTTTATTTTCATCTTTCGTATTAAAAATTAATGAAAATCAAAAGTGAAAAAAAGAAAACTGTTGTATATTCTTGCTCTTGGCTAACTGAAAAGTTCCTACCTCTTTTATTAAAAAGATTCTGAATTCCATTAAAACTATGACGTTGCATTTAATTGTTAGTTAAATTATTATTTCACTGTATGTGTGTCAATATAATGTGCTTTACAGTGTGTTAAATGTGATAATTGATCCTATTTCTGTCTCTAAAAAAATTACATGCATTTTGTAGGTTTTCCAAGAAACATTGGAAATAAAAGATGCAGATCCGGATGAAGTTTTGAGAAGTTTAGTAGATTTAGTGGAAGTCTGTCCCCAGTTTTTCAAAAGCCAAATTGATCATCTGTTTCATCTTTGTTGGAAAGTAAGTTTAAGGAACATACTTTTTATCGGTGATCTGAGCAGTTAATCTATCTCTAGCTGACGATATAGTAAATATTTTTCTTAAATCCCTGCTTCAGCTGTCAATTCTCCACCAAAATTCAAAAACTCCCAAATTAGGAGGAATCTCTCAAACTCCTAAAAAATATTAAAATTTTTCACATTATGGAAATTTTTTCGAATTACCCAACTATATTACTAGTGCTAGTAAAATTTTGTTTCTTCTATTTTAAAAAAAGGGGGGTTTATGTGTGTATGCAACAAATACTTACTTATATAAAATTTAAGTCCAATTAGAATTTAATACAGTGGTACCCCACTATAGTGAATACGGGGTATAGTGAACTCCCGGATATAGTGAACAAAATTTTCGCTACCAAACCTATTTTCTGTCTGACAAATTTTTTTTCTTCATTTTTTGGCTTTTTTGAAATTTCTACATAAAATGCATATACTGATCTTAAACCATTTATTGGGTGGAATGTAGCCATAAAGCATTTTTCTTGTTTGCTTCTTCTATCTCAATTTCCCAACTCTAAATTTTTTGTACTCAGGACGAAGAGTAATAAAAAATTAGTTACATTTTTTGTTATTACATATTGTTTTTTAATCATTTTTGTATTTCTTTTTATTGGCCATTTCTTTAAATGTAATGAAAGGGAGCAGTTCAGAAAAATTAGTTAAAATTGTTAGCAGTACAATATAGTGAACCGAAATTTCGGTCCCCTAAAGGTTCACTATAACGGAGTTTGACTGTATTATCTATCAGAAATTTAATTTCACTATGCTGTAATTTGCTATTTTTCTAGTTTAAGATGCAGTAAGCAAAAGAAAAGGACCCTAAACAATAAGAAATTTTTGTTTTATGTTATTGAACAAAAATGTATCATGTGCAAAAATAAACTTTTTTTTTTGTTGGCAGATTTATCTTTTTTTAATTAATTTTATTTTAAGTTTAAAAATATTTTATTAATTATGAAAATAAGGAATACATTGGATATCATTTGTGTGAATAATTAGCTGCAGAATAAAATTGTTTACAAGAAAAATTCTGCTTTGAAAAACACTGGCTTTTTTGAAAACCTCTGACCTCTGGGTTTAAATTTTTATTTCAAAATTAGTGATACATCTGAATAGGTACTTTAAGTTATAGCACCTAGATTACAAATGAATTACCTGAATTACAAGAAAAAAGGCTGGAAAAGAGAAAATGGTTAGAAACTTTGCGAGAAGATATAAGCAATTTTTATAAAATTTGATTTTATAAAAATTTTTAATTAGTTTTCTAAACCTAATTTTTGTGTAAATTATAAATGTTATGATTATAATTTGCATGATTTTTTTTCAATATTTATAAAATTTTTAAAAAATTATTAAATAGTTTTTCAAGTGCAGTTAGTAATTTAAATATTTACAGCCCTTCCCCTCCCGAAAAAATTGGTGAAAATTTAGAGGTACAATATTTTTTAAAAAATATAATTTCATGCATAAATATTAATTTTGCAAACATGAATTGTGAAATATAAAGACAAGAGAGTTTATTTAATTGCTGTAATTTGTTTTTTCTTTTTAAAATTAGGGGAAAATTTCAAGAATTGATAAAGTATATCTTTATAAAAAGTAATAATTACAAGTAGTGAAGAATCATACATGAAAGAGAATTTCCTAAATTGCCATAATTCGTATAATTTTATTTTTTAAATTGGATGAAAGCTTCAAAATATAGAAATTGGTTTTTTCATTTAAGAGCAAGGCTACCAATCTTCAGTCCTATGACTAAAATCAGTCTTGAAAGAAAATCAGTAGACGAAGTTCCATAAATTAATCTCTTTTCAATTTGTTTTTAATATTAAAGTTTCTGTATTTCCTTAAATAACAAATTTTTTCTGTTGAATAAAAATAGCATTTTAATGTAAACATTGGTAATTTTTATAATTATTGTGGTATGATCAAGTAATGATGTAGGTCAGGGGTTTTCAACCCTATGCCCGCGGGCACCATGGCACCCGTCGATCGGTCTAGGTGCGCACGCTGCTTGTGCCCAATGATAAAATATTTCAGTTTTCTATTTTCCCCTAAAATGCTATGAAAGTTTTTTTTTGCTTTTTTCAATATTGGTGATAAACACATCCAAAATAGAAATCGCCAGGAAAACAACCTCCATCCCCCAGATATAAGCACAAAGCATTTATTTCATCATTTTCTCCCAATAATGAAACGCTTGCCAGTGAAATACAATGCCAAAGATCACACTGACTTTATTTTATATATTTTATAAATAATTTTTATGTTTCGTATGTTTTGCAACCATTTAGTAATCATTTATTTTGCACAAGAATATTAATACTAATTATAATCATATGTTAAATTAATTTTTAATGCTAAATTTTTGTGCATTATATGTAGTGCGTCGTTCATCGATCGTTGTTGTAGAACTGGGCATCAGAGGCCTAAATGGCCCTTATGTAGTGCGTCGTATTACCTTTGTCTTTATCTTGAAAAAATAAATGGTGTCCGCCATTCAACCAATATTCTGGTACTTGCTCTTAGGTACAAAAAGGTTGGGGACCCCTGATGTAGGTCATTAATGAAAGAATGAGATTGAACTTCAACACTTGCTTGCTTAAACAAAATTAGTACTATCATTGCATTGAAATATATATATATATATGTGTATCTCAAGCGTTTTTTAATGCTGGCCCAAGTCAAATTGAGATTTTTTTTTAAAAATTATAGAGATAGGACAAAAAATAAATAGCAAGGAAATGAAAAAATAAGTAGAGATATGTACAACTTAGTAAAAATTAGTGGTTTATTTTTGAGGGGTTGATGTAAAAAGATGTACTAAGCTAGCTGTTATTTTTATCTTGTTAGCTGTAAAAAATAAATTAATAAAATGAAGGAAAAAAATACTTGCTAATTGATTTAATATATAAATCTTTATCATAGAAAGATAAATTTTGGAGTCGGTGAGCTATAAATGTCAGAGAAAATTCTTGTAAACAGTTCTAGATTGTGTTAATTTTTCAAAAAAAAAAGTTAAAAGTAAGTCGTGAAATATTTTTAGAGTTTCACCTGTGTTTAAGAGTACTGCATTAATGTTAAAAAATTGACTTAAAAATGCTGTTATTTTTTTTATTATTACTATTATTTTTTTTTTTTGTAGGTTTTTGTTCAAGTTTTTTTACTAACACACCATAAGTATTTGAATATAATCTGCCTGTATATAATTTATGTAAGCCTATTTTTAAATTTAATTTAGGGGTTGTCCAACAAAGAGCAACTTGACTCGACACGTCAGCTGTCCATAGAGGTTTTTGTGACTATTTGTGAAGCTGCTCCTGCTATGGTACGCAAGTGTGGAAGCAAGCATGTTCCTGCAAATAGTAAGTTTCTGCATTTCTAACACAAAACTATTGCTCTTACTAAATCCATGAATTTTAACAAATTGATTTTATTATTGTTTACAATATAAAACCTCGTGGCAGAATCACGGGCAACATTGTCACAGATGTTTATTGCAACAACCGAATCTATAAACGAAACACTCGTTTGAGTAACTCCTTTTTAAGGACTCTGATTTGCTTGATTTTGTGGTCGGATCTTCTTTTTTTTATCTTTTTTTTTCAATAGTTATAGCAATGATTTTTAATTAGTTTTCTTTTAACGTGATGTTGATTTACTCAATAAGAAGAAGGAAATAATTAGTGTGTTTTTCCGTTCATAGAATATTGCCCTTAATGTTATTAACACTGTGATGTATATTTTTGTGGTATTGTCAAGGGCTCTTAAAACACCCAAAAATTAATAGTAATTCATTTGGAGTAAACACTTTCTGTTGAGGAATTTTTAAATTCTTCAAATTTTTTGAAAATCTATTATTATTCCTTTTGAGATTTATCATGTTTTATGATGGATTAATGTTGCAAGTCAGTAACAAGTAAACATACATAAAAAAGCAAGTGTTCAACTAAATGGTTTGTTCATTGATTTGGTGAGTGGTGCCTATACGCCTCATTTTATTTCTTAAATTAAATATAATTTTTCATAATCAAAATTTTTTGTGTGTCCTAATGAATGTAATGTAAGCATATTTCAGTGAAAATAATACCGCATTTTATAACATTTATATGCTTTGCCTAAAATGGGTTAACTAATATATTTGTTAATTTTTTTTTTTTTTTTGTAAAATAAATTTTCTTTAATAATATTTTTATTAAATATGTGATTATACCATCATAGTTTATATTATTCTGTCTCTTTATCCATATTATTAATGATTCAATTTTTTCAAAAGAAAATCTTAACAAGTTTCCTTTTTGTGAATAATTTTCTTATTATGTTTAAAAAATGTTTTTTAGCTGATTAAATTAGATATAATTTCAATTAAATACAGATTAATGTATAGTCTTTTTATTAAATTACTTTTTTTTAAAGTATTTTTTTAGGGTGACTTAGTTGTTTAAAATTTTAGTTTATTGATTAAATAAGTTATCCCTTATTCTATTATTGATTATGAGTTATCTAAATCAGATCCTTTGTATCCATTTCAGTATTGTCTACTTTGGAAATGATGATGGAATTAGAAGAGGAGCCTGGTTGGGATTTTATTGATGATGATAATACAGATGAAGAAAATGACAGGTTTAATCTTATTGTGATCATATGAAATGAACTTATGATTCAAAGATGATATTAATGTCTCTTTTTTCTTGTCTTTGCTTTAGCAATTGTGTGGTCGCAGAAGCCGCCCTCGACCGCCTTGCCTGTTCTTTGGGTGGTAAAACCATTCTACCATTAGTTATGACTGCTATTCAGCAAATGTTAAGTTCAGGTTCGTATGATAACTTTCCAGACTGTTTCTTATTTTCTATGTGGTGTGCCAGTTATAGGATTGCAACAAACAATCGATAAACTTTAATGGAATTATGCCATTTCAAATTTAGCTTTTTAATTAAGAGACAAATAGCATAAATATCGATAGTTAGTACATTACATGTTTGAGAACAGACATCATTATGAGTATTTTAGAGATTTCTTTCTTTTTCTATATAAGTCAGAATAAGATGAAGAAATGTCTATTACTTCTTACTACAACTTAGGGTGTATAGTTTTGAAGAGCACTGTTGAATTGTCATACAGTAACATGGTATTTACAATTCATTAAACTACATTCCATTTCGGCGTACCGTCAGTCCATATCCTATGAAAGCGGCAGTCATTTCGCACGTTTAACTAAATAGTTGCGAGTTCGCATGTGCGTCTACTTAACTGACTTCCGTGAGATTATTGCACTCATGTGAAACTCTGCTGCAGTTTACAAGATATTCTCAATTTCAGGCTTCATTTTCCACCCCCTGATATCAAGCCAAAAAATTTCTTGATCATTTCATAAAAGCTAATGTAATCACGAAAAGAGTTCCGTCCGAAACTAGTTATTTTATCATGATCATGTAAAATCTTTGATAGTTATTTTGCATTTTGTTAATGTATATAGTGCTTAAAAATGTCTTTGAGTTCTTAAAAAGTACTTAAAAGGTGCTTATTTTTTGTTGAAAGATTTTGCTACACATCAGTGTTATGGACAATGAACCAGTATATTGATTAAACAAGAATAGTAGACTACTATGTTTTGTAATTTTACAACTGTTCTTGCTCGTTAATATTAGAATATGTAGAAGGAATCCTTATTTAATCACCAACATCTTCTACAAGGGATATCAATTGGCGTAAATTCTACTTATTTTATTGTATTTCATATTTATTCATTAGAACTTTTATATTGTACTGACGATATAATTTGGAGTCAATTCTGTTTATTATTGTCTTTAATAACTATTCATAGCTATTATTCTACAAAGGAAGTCATTTTGAGTTAATTCTGTTTATTTTTAATTTATTCTGTTTATTTTTGAGTCAATTCTGTTTATTTCCTATTTATTCATCAGAGCTATATGAATTTTTCTATTACAGATGATTGGAAGGGCAGATATGCTGGATTAATGGCTATTTCTGCAATTGGAGAAGGTTGCCATAAACAAATGTCCGCCATTTTACAAAAAGTTGTTGACCGTGTGTTACCATTCCTTATCGATCAGGTAAACACTGTGCTCATGTTTAGATGTCACTGGGAATTTAAAATAAAAAATACAGTTGCCATATTGCCATGTAATAGTTTGTTACAAATTGCAGTTATTGTACTCTAAATATAAAACAGAATAAAGGGAATTTAAACCAGTTGATCATTTGAATATGGCCACATTTTTAATAAGCTTTATTTCCTATTTTTGAAAAACTAGTTACTGTGTATGCAGCAAGCTTTTATTTTGAGGGTATTTTAAATTAGTGCTACAAAACCTATTAAGATTGCCACTTCTGTAGGCTAATTACCTGTCCAAATTGTTCTTAATGCTCTAGTACCAAATTCTAAATGATTAAATATGTTAATTATTATTTTTAAACTTGTTTTTCTTTTGCTAAAACCATTGTGTTCAAAATATAAGAGCTTGAATTGGCTACTTTTTAATTAAAGAGTGTTAAAATAACTGAGTTTTTGTGTTCAAGTATTACTTATTTGCCATATTATATAGAGACTACAATATATTGAGTTTTATTGGGCATATCAACCATATTTTATTGAGAATAGAATATGGTTGATATGCTTATTAAATTAAGAAAGAATATAGATAAAATCATATGGATTTTTATTCTATTTTCAATATTTGTTTGATTTTATTATATTTTTAATGATTTTTTAAATGCCATATTTTATTGAGACTAAAATATATTGAGTCTTATTGGGCATATCAACCATATTTTATTGAGAATAGAATATGGTTGATATGCAGGGCTGATTGTGCTCCGGAAAAAATCCGGATTTTTCGCAGACCGTGATCCGGAGATCGAAGGTCCACGTGTTTAAAAAAATCACTGATCACAAAAGTTTCCTGAAATCAAATTTTGAAAGATGGAACTTAAAAACAGTTTATTTTATTTGTTTGTAAGGGAGAGGCAGATACTTTATATTCAAGATTAATATTAATTTTTTATCAGTAAATAGTTATTATAATCATGAACTCAAGAAAGAAAGACATATTTGTAAATTTCAATTACTTCTCTAGGTTATCATAGGTATGTGTAAATGGTATAGGTATGTGTAAAATTTTAATTATATTTTAAGTAAACTAAGAAAGATTGAGAAAAAGGAAGAAAAAAAAACCTTGTTTAAATTTTTTTCTATCTAAGCTTTTTTTTATTTTTATATTTACTCAAGAAATTTTCCAGAAATTTGACTTGGGCTCACAATCAGTCCTGGATATGCTTTTTAAATTAAAAAGGAATATCAATAAAATTATATGGGTTTTTATTTATTTTCAATATTTGTTTAGTTAATAAAAAAGTTCAAAATAAGACATAAATAAAATTATATGTTTCTGAAAGTAAATTACTCAAGTGTAATTTTCTTTTCTTATTTTTTATCGATAGTTTGTCAAAATTTAAAATATTTAGTTGACTACTTCTTTTTAGTAAAAGGCTTCTTTTTTAGGTAATNAAAAAAAACCTTGTTTAAATTTTTTTCTATCTAAACTTTTTTTTTTTTTATTTACTCAAGAATTTTTCCGGAAATTTGACTTGGGCTCACAATCACTCCTGGATATGCTTATTAAATTAAAAAAAGAATATCGATAAAATTATATGGGTTTTTATTCTATTTTCAATATTTGTTTAGTTAATAAAGAAGTTCAAAATAAGATATAAATAAAATTATATGTTTCTCATAGTAAATTACTCAAGTGTAATTTTCTTTTCTTATTTTTTATCGATAGTTTGTCAAAATTTAAAATATTTAGTTGACTACTTCTTTTTAGTAAAAGGCTTCTTTTTTAGGTAATGCAAATGCAGAAGAAAAAAAAACTAAATTCCTGAAACCCATTTGTTACCAGTACAAACCAATTATTTATTCTTTTCTGCCAATTTTTTTTCATCAAGCACTTACGATAAATTTTGGCATAACTGAACGGAATCAAATTTTGCAACCTTATAAAATTATAATTTTATTAGTATTACGTATATTTTATAAGTGAAAAATAGCATAGACCTATTCTGATTCTCAGTCCCTAAACAACAATTTCCTTACTCTACCAGTATGCACCTTGTGAATAGTATACCGAACAAACAACAATTTCCTTATTTTTGCAGACAGGGGGGAGCGGTTTAAGGAATGCTTACTTAAAACATTAAAAGTCGCATGATTTTTTAAAATATTAAAAAAAAAATAATTTAATGAATAAGAAATCGGGGGAAATGTATTTTTTGGAAAATCTTTAAGTTTGATGCATAAGTGGTTTTTAGAGAAAGGAAATGTGGGGGAAAACATAAATCTTATTGGAGTTTCAGTGGATATTCAGAATTGAACAAAATTTGTCATGATTTTAACTATTTTTTTTAAAAAAAATCATGGATTTAGGTCGCCAAAAAATCTAATTTTTAAAATGGAATTTACCCTTCCGCCCAATTTCATGGTATTTTGAATATCTGAATTTGTAACAAAATCCCCACTCACAGTCATATTTTATTAAAATATAAAATGTTTTTATCATGTTCTTTAAAAATTATGTTCTTTCAAAAAATGAAAGAAAAAACATTTCTAGAGCAAATTATCTTTTAAACGCCTGTGATTTCAGAATTTTTTTTATAATTTATTTTTTTATTTTATCAATTTAAAATTATAGCTGAAGCAAGCCAGTCATTAGCGATTTTTTTTTCTTTCCTGAAATGAGAACAGAAAATTCGGGAGTGTTCTTTTGCGATGAACAGGAAAAGTATCTTCCGAATATAATTCTGCAGAAAAAAAGAAATAAGAAATTATTTGCTTTTGTATTTTTTTCAACTATTTCATTACTCTGTTTTTTAAATTTAAAATCTATAAATATGAAGATGCAGAGTATAACAGTTTTGGTTATTGTACCTATCATTTCAATTAATGTTATAATGCTTTTTTAAATTTATAGCTGTGTTTTTGTCAAAGAAAATAGTAACCTCATTAAGTCAAGAAAAATTCTTGGAATTAGTCATGGAACGTCATGAATTTGAAAATCTAAAATGTAGCTGATTCCCTGGATATTCTACACAAAATAATAAAGAATGAATTAAAACTTAAAAATTTTCTTTTATATGAAGCTACATCGTTTATTTGAGTATAATCCTAAAGTTAGATTACTAATACAAAAGACAAAGTTGAAGCAAAATATTATGGTTCTGTTATAAATTTCTTACTTAAGCATAAAAGGGAGTTTGTGTTTTGCTGGCAAGACGTAGGGTTTGTCTTATATTGCCAAAACATGCTTGCATAATATTTGAACAACTCCATAGTTCTTTCTCATAAATAAAATAATTACTGTAGCATTGTTTATTATTTTTTTAAATACAGAACACTCGCGTGAGATATGCTGCATGCAATGCCTTGGGTCAGATGTCCACTGATTTTGCTCCTGTTTTTCAAAAGAAATTCCACGAGAAAGTAGGTACTCCTCTCTAATCAATAATTGTTGATTGATTTGTAAAAGCAGTATTGCTCACTGAGATTGATATTACTCTTACAGGTTATAACATCGTTGCTTCAACTTCTGAGTGATCCTAGTAGCCCTAGAGTGCAGGCACATGCTGGTGCAGCTCTTGTCAATTTCTTTGAAGATTGTCCCAAAAGCATATTAAGTCCTTATCTCAATAACATTGTTCTACAATTAGAAGCAGTTTTGTGTTCCAAGCTCACAGAAGTAAGTTCTTTACAGTTTGTTACACTACTGTATTTTTACAATGATTGGTTTAGACATGCATAAGAATGTACAATCAGCAAATAAAAGTTAATACCCTGTATAATTGCTAACTCTCCTGGATTTTCCAATAGACTACTGCATATCTGGCAAGTCTCCTGTTTTTTAACAAAGACTCCTGTATTTTATGACTATCTTCTGTTTACCCCTACATTCTCAAATTTCTCTGTATTTGCTAAAGAAATTTTTAAAAAAATTTAGGGATAAAATATCTTCTGGTGGCAAAAATACTTTCGTCAACAGGTAGCTGAAGGCGTTTACCTTCCAATTAGGTGAACCGGGAGTCTTCCTTCCATGAGGTTAACCGAGGGAGATTTTCATGCTTTTCCTATCCATGTAATGCAAATGTGGGTTAGTTCCACCAAAAAGTCCTCTATGAAGGTAAATTTCTCCCAATGCTTGGTTCAGGAGTTACCTTATCTTCTGGATTTGGTTCAAAATTACAAGGATACAGAGTTGAACATAAGTAGTCATAAATCCAAAAATTGGGTCGACTGTTCAACATAGTTTAATTATACGCCTATGAAATAAAATAGTTTACGTAATTATAAATAGTGGTTTTAAAAAATCTTCTTCTGATAAAGTTTTATCTACATACTTTTCAGTTAAATGTGAGTGCTTATATTATTTCCAATTTTGAATTTCTACTTTTGACTTATATATGATTATGGGTGATGTATTGAAGCTTTATTGTAGCCTAAAAAATAAAAAATAAAAATACCGCTAACGAAAACTCTGTTATTTTATTTCTCCAGTGTTGGTATGCTACTGGATTAAGCCAGTTTCTGCTAGTCTATTGGTTTGATAAAAGTTCTTCTGTTTTTTTGTACATTTTTAGAAAATTCTGTTATATTGAGTAAAAATCCCTATTGAAATAGTATTTTTGCTCTGATTATTGCTTGTTTAAATATTTAAATATGTATTACAGATAAATAATGAAGCGAGCCTCATTTATGAAAATCAGTTTAAAACTTCTTTTTGTTCTAAAATGTTCAGTTTTTTTATTATTCAGAACTCCCTTTTTAGATTAATTAAAAATTATTTTAACTCTCTTTGATGAATTAAATGCCTTATTACTATTCAAAATTATGAGTAAACATAATACGTAATGTTTCAAGTTCATTTAATGTCAATCATAGCTTTAAAATATTGCAAATTTTCTATTTTGATGACCATGAATTTCCCTAAAATTCCCCATTTGTAAAATATTTAGTACATTATGCAACAATTATCGTGACATTAACTGGAATTTCGTACAATCTACTGGATTTTTTCCTTTCCATGCGCTATGCTTTTGATCCAATGCGTTTCCATACCTGCCAACTTTTACGCATTTGGCGTAAAATTTTATTTCTATATTTAAAGTGGTAGTAAAATATATGCTTTCCTTGCATTTATAAACTTTATTTATAATATTCTTAATCCTCCACTATTTTTAAAAAAATTAGCCATATATATTAATATGTAATACTATTGTAGTAATCCGCAAAAGCTTGTTCAAAATACAGCGAGTGTTACTGCCTAAAATTGCATTTTAAATTTACTGCCACTGGGGAAAGTCATCCTTGAAAGGATTAAAAGTTGCAGGTATACATTCCACCCATATCAAGACTCAATCTTAATGGTTCAAAACTCTTATCTTGAGTATGCTAATTAAATAAAGTAGATATTTAATTTTTTATTGGATTCATTTGACACTAAAATAAACAAGACAGCAACAAATGCTATTTTAAGCTAGAAAATCAGATACAAAAACTTATAGTTTTAGAATAAACACATTTTTTTTCCGACTAATTTGAATTCCCTACCCTCAGAATATGGAAAGTAAGCACAATCTGGAAAATATTATTTCAATTGTTTAGGTGCAGAGTGATCAAAAGTTTAAACACCTTAATGGTAATTGCACATTTTGCTACATCTCGACAACTATTTAAGCAAATTTGTTGACAATTTTTTAATTAATTTATTTAATAATAGTTGTAAGAAATTGTGAATTGTAAGGTATACCAATTTTTCACTATTTTAAGGAATTTAATTTAAAATAAAATACAAAATTTAAATGCAATCAAGATCTCATAGTTTCTGTATCAAAGCTTAAAAAATTCAAAAGTTAAACATTTCTTTTTTCGTTACTTAAAACATTGTTGGGCTAGTTATTTGGCTTATTTAATGTTAGTTCCTCAAACCATTGAGATAGTGTTTAGTGCGTGAAAATCAGATTATTAGATCAAAAGCTATTCAGGGAATTCAATTCCTTCTTAACATCTTACAAAAAAAGTTTTGCATTTTGTTATTAAAAGAAAGTACCCAAAAATTAGGTATTCGAGCTTTAAGAAACATATTAATCTACCTTCATGTTCAAATTCTGGTTGTGCTTTTTTTAACCACCACAGCCCTTCAGATACACATAGGAACACATATTAAGTTAATAGATTTTATTAATTACTAATTTTATTCATATGTGATCCAGTATACTTAATTATTATTATTTATTTTATTATTTTATTTGTAGTTAGCAGAAAAGGGAACTAAATTAGTTTTGGAACAAGTGGTTGTGACATTGGCATCATTGGCTGATAGTGCTCAAGAAAAATTTGTGGAACATTATGATAAGTAAGTTTGATATCATGCCAGGAATTAACCATCTTCATTGTTTATAAATATTTGCTTACCCTCTCATTTGTTTGCATATTTTCCTGATACCTTTAGTTTCATCAAATCACTCAATTCTAATTTTTGTAGCCTAAGTAGATTACATATTTTTATAAATTCGGTATGATCAATATTAATCATGTTAATATTTTTTTGAATATCCTATTATAAATAACATTGATTTAAATTTAAAAAGATATACTAACAATTCGAAGAAAACATTTTTACTAGTGTGTAGATTAATTGTGATGTTTTTTGATTGCTTAAAAGGTACTTATTTTTAGTTGAAAATTTGGCTATGCACATTGTCAAGACCGTTGATACGCGTACTCTTGCGAATTAATAGTTAATATTCTGATAAAGATTACTCAGAGCAGGGCTCGTGATTTTTTTGATTTAAATTAGATTTTTTTTTATTTATTCAAATACACTGTAAAAAAATTAATTTATGATTAAAAATACTTTATAAATGTTTAGTCTAAATTAAATTAATATTAAAACTATATTATAACAATATTTTAGGAGCTCTAACTTACTAAAATAATTTTTCGTTATAATACATAGCTTTGAANTTTGTGCTTATGTGAGATTCGTCTACAAACGGCTTTTGATCCGTCCTCTAAATCGGTTCTTTCGTCAACTCGATACGCCGTACGCTCTAAATAACAAAAAGGGCTCAAAATCTTGCAAGAAAAAAATATTTTTTTTAATGGAAGAAAATTAATTTCCAGTTCCGAATTTCATTCCGGTTATCTGGTTTTCTGATTTCCGGATAAGAGGTTCTGCACTGTATAATGTAGATTTTAATTCCATCCTTTTTCAATCAAAAGGTAGAATTTTAATTAACATTATTTGCATTTTTTTTTTGTTGAAAAAAATTCATGTTTATTAATTACTTTCTACAGCTATGCAAGTCTATGTTAAGACAGCATTAAATGTTTACTTTAATCTGTACTTTCAATCTCAAGAATCAATAGATTTTTAAAAATGCTATTTCAAATGTGTTGGAATTTAACACACATCAAGAAAGAAAGTAATTTTGTTAACTAAAATTAAAAAGAAAAGAAAATAATAAAAGTATCAATAATTGAAGCACTGTTTTTCAACTTTTAAAATCAATATATATATATATAAAAAATCAATTGATTTAAATCAATGATTTTTAAAAAAAAAAAATCATTTGATTAAAATCATTGATTGGCACCCTCTTTCCCCCCCTTTTTTTAAAAGATAACAAATTTTTTTTTTTTAAATACTTTATTACTATAAAACTAATTTCCCCTGCTTGCCTTTTATTTAAAATTAATTCAGCAAATTTTTTTTGTGGTCAGCTAAAGCAAATTGTTAGGAGTGTTGAGTTTACTCAGTACTGTTTTATTAACAATGAAAATATAAAAATAAATTGTAAGCCTTCCTTATGACTGAATTACAAAGATTTATATTAGTACCTATTGAACTTTAAGAATTGATATGTTATGCATAACCTAATTTCTGTTTTAGTGCCTTTCAGTTATTCTGGTTCGTTTTTTTAGGTTTATGCCTTGTTTGAAATTCATAATTGAGAACACAAATCAGCCACATTTACTTATCTTGAGAGGAAAAACAATAGAATGTGTGAGTTTAATTGGTCTTGCCGTTGGTAAGGATAAGGTATGTTCTTATTTTTCTAGATTATGATTTTCTGTCCCTCTTTTTTATTATGATTGTGAACTATTATGTTTTGGTTGATTGAGAAACAGTGCCAGTGGTTTAGAACTTTATTACATAAAATCTACTCATTTTAATACAATAAGCGTAACTTTCCCTATTTTAGTACATATTATAATATTTCATGCCAAAATTTAACAATATATTGCAAAAATTTAACTAAATAGTATTTTTATATAGGTCAATATTTTTTCGTCATTTGAATAAAGTTTATCAGCACTCAAAATAATATATGCAGTAATTGACATATTGCATTATAATCGTGATTTTATCTTTTTGATCTATAATACAGTGAATTCGCGATAACTCGAATCTGATAGGACTGACGAAAAACTTTGACATATCGGAAGTTCGACTTACCGTTAGTTTCGGTTTTGGACTTTCAAAATATTGTCGGATTATTTAATTAATGCTTATTAATTACAAATCTTCTAAA